CAGGAGGGGCTTCTTGAGTTTGCTGGGTTTGGGCTTCTCCAGCCTCACCCGGCGCAGTTTCTTCTGCATGCTCTTCCTCCTCGATGTCGGCCCACTCTTCGAAGAGCGTTGACTTCTCAGTCCTGAGGACCTGAGCGTTAAATACTCCTGTAGCGTATTTGTACCTCAAGTCGAAGAAAGCATAGTCGGTATCCGGATGGATCAAAGACCATGCCATCTTCATGCGCTCCTCGCAGTCGCGCTCGTTCTCGGTAACCAGCTGGTCCTACTCAACCGCCAGCTGGTCCTTGATCTCATCCTTCAGCCGGGTGACCTCAGCCTTCAGCCCGATGTTCTCCTTGTCATCCTCCCCCAAGGCTTTGACGTTAGCCTTGAGTTGGTTAACTTGGAGTTCACAGTCGGCAGCCTTTTTGTTGGTTGTATCAGCAGCAGCCGTGAGCTCCCGGATGAGTTCCTCCTGTTTCATCTCCCAAGCTTTAGTTTGGATTTCAAGCATAAGGGAGTTATATTAACAGACAACTATTAATTCGGCTGCCCGTCTTTGGGCATCCCTTACCTCCTCTTGATTCTTCCGCAAGGGGGCTTTCATCCCGTCAACCTTCAACATCATCTGCAAAATCAGCCGGAAAAGAAGTTAGCTTCTCAGTTGTATTACAACCGGCAATTAGCAAAATTGCACAAAAGTACCCCAATTGGTATATTACCTTAGCCAACAGTGAGTTTTGCAGATCCGGCAAACAAGAGAGGCATCTGCATCATGATATTTATCTGTTAGGTACTGAGCATATGCAACGCCTATATTCTGCCGGTTGCATGAAGAATCCCCTGACTTGGTAGCTTTGGACTTGACTCGAACAGGCCCAAGTGGCCGGGGGGGTTTAAAGTGAGATCCGTACCTTGGTGTTATATATATATATATATATATATATATATATATATATATATATATATATATATATATATATATATATATATATACATATATATATATATATATGTATATGTATATATATATATATATGTATATGTATATATATATATACATATATACATATATACATATATATATATATATATATATACATATATATATATATGTATGCATATATATATATACATACATATACATATATATGTATATATACATACATATATATATATATATATACATATACATATATCTGTATATATATATGTATATGTATGTATGTATATATATATGTATGTAAATGTGTGTGTGTGTAAGTAGCATTTCTCCCTTATGGTGTGTGTGTGTATGTATATATATATATATATATATATATATATATATATATATATATATATATATATATATATATATATCACACACATTCGTTATTAAAGATAAATATATGTATGAATATAATTTAAAGCTTGAGTTTAGTAAAATTTATTGACATTTGTTGATAATTATAGTCGTCAGCTTCTATATTGTAAGTTTGCTTAAGAAATTTGAGTGCTTGTTTAGCAGCATTTTGCTGTGATGGACCAATTAGGGTGGTTGGTTTCCTAATAAATCGTACTGGACATGGGACATTAGGAACACAATTTATATCTATAAAAGCTTTTATTTCATCGTCAGTGACAGCATATATACCGAATTATGCTCGAGGTAATCCTAGCTGAAGTAGTATATCATGTAGAATTATTTTGATATTTGTTTCCAGAACACTATGTGGTTCATCCATTTATATGCTAGTTAAGGATTTGGTATTTTAATGTGAGGAAAAGAACTTATTATATATGAAGTTAATCTACAGTAGTTATTGTTTTGAGAGCAAATCTCAGTTTCTATTTCTATTTATAGGCATACTTTAAAAACCTTGTAGTGATCTTTTTTATTACATATTGAGTTTTCAAATATGCGTGTTAGAACCCAAAATGTTTTATAATACACATGTCAGACATTTATTATGTTTTATGTATATTGTACAAGTGTGCTATAGTGTAAATTGTACAATTTACACGTGTGTGTGTATGTATTCATTTTTAATTTATTATTTCAATCCTATGTGCTTAGAATATATCATATTAATCCTATGTAGTTGGTATCCCAATAAATTGTATAGGATTTACTATGCTATAGAGTTAAGCATTAAAATATGATAAATACTTAAAACAAAAGATTATTTAATGTAAATCTACATGCATAAGTACATATGTATACAAACAAACATTATTTAAAATACATTTTAAAGTTGTAATTGTCTAAGGAAATAAAGTTCGTAATAAAAGCATGAAATTATACACATACATACGTTCATAAACATGTCTGAAAATTATTATACATCTAAGCTCCAATAATGCGTTTAGCTTTCCAGCGGAGCTGTTGAAATCCTTCTCCCAACATGTATGTGGTCATCTCTATGGTCAGCTCTTTGTCTTTCAAAGCTGCAATGCAACTGTCTACAAGAGACCTTTGTTGCTGCAATTGTGTATAAAATGAATTTTTTTTACCCATATAATGATTTTTGTAAGTCTGTGTTGTAGTTTTGAGTTTGATATAAGTTGTAATTGTTAGGTAATAGTAATAATTTAAAGCATACATACTTGTAGTGTAAGCGTAGCCATATGATTAGCTTCATCATTTATCAGTTGTTCAGCAAGTTGACCAAAAAGTGTGATTGGTATGTCGCCACTATCGTCAGCAAAAGTGATATGCATCACAGTTCTTCAATGTGTATAATTACGCATGATTAGATATTTAACAAGATAAAGAAAAGCAGTGATTGTATGCTATGTTGTTAGTAGTGCTACATCAATTACCGTGGTTCGGACGTCCCTACGTGTGGGGAGCTAAAAGCACGACAGTTAAACACCGATCCTCTTTCAATTTCAAATTGTTTGCTGCAGACATTGCAGGCATTGTATACTATACTGTTTTTGTTTGTAATGTCAATGACTCGTCCGACGATCCGTACTGTTTTTCCAGACTTGTACAAAAACAAATGCACGATATAGTTATACAAAACATTATGTTGTCCACTTTAATTTGTGTAGTGAAACATACTATGTAACTTACCTCTTGCTTAGATAATTGTGAGATTGGAATCATTAATTCAGATTGCTAAGAACTTTCTGCTATTTCAGTTGCGAATGAATTTTGAAGGATTCGAATTTGGTCCTTATTATTCACCGCCCTATAAATCAACAATGTAAGTTAAGTAATAATTAGTACACAAATAGAATCAGTTTGAGAAGTTTTGTTTACCAATCTCGGAGAAGTTGTGCTTCTGGAGTACTTGGGTTAATTTTTAGTGTAGAAGAAAAGATTGTGTTGAATGAACCATCTGTAAACGTGTATGGCGTAGGTAGTAATGAAAGCGTACTTATTATTTTATAAATATTTGTTCATATCATATACCGTTGAAAGCTGATGCTTTGACGCGGGAAACTTCTATAATAGGCATCGTATCTATATTTCAGCAACATCAGCAGCTTCGTGAGTAACCAAAGTATTCCACACTGATAACATAACAGGCTCCATGCTGCCAAAAGTAGAAGAAATTAAATGTTCAATAAGAATAGTTATAATAAAGTTAAATTACTTCTGTATTGGAAAACCAATTTATATTATTGTAATATATACACGTACTTAGAATCTATGATTTCAATCCTACGCACTTCATTAGGAAGTCCAGAACTCTTGGAGCGAATGGTTGCTATATCGTGTATGTGAATAGCAATTCCAATGATATCTAAGAAAAAAATAAAACAAAGAACTTAATTATATGTCGATTAATTCATGTGCATTTACGATGCGCCTACGGTAATTACGACATTTTAATGGATAATAAGTAATATTTACCCATTCGATCATATCTGCCAACAAAATCCATAACCTGATTAAGTGGAACAAAGTATGAACTTGGTTCAGGTTGTTGTCGTGTTTCGGAAATTCTTGTTGCATAATTGATCGTCATCTGATACAACTGGTTTTCTTTAACAAACATGTTAGGTGTGCGAGTTATGATAGGGTTGGTAATGTTGTATTCCCTCTCTTCAGCAAGATGATTATGAAATAGCTCAATATCTCGTCCAAAGATCACAGCCTTCATTTGTGTTCTCTAGCAATTTCAATGTTAAATATTCGTTAAATACGTTAAGATATTTAATATTCTATAAAATGTATATAATATACCTCTGCATCTTCAAAAATAAGCTGTTGTAGATTTATCGCGCCTTTGCGAGATCTTTTAGCTGGGTGCTTCTTTATTAATGTAGCTGCTGTAGTAAAGTTTTGACTCTGGTATGTCAGTCTGGCGAGGGGAAGTTGTTGAGCAACCATTATGTTGTTCCACAATATGATTTGAACCTATTGTCAATGTGTTGTCAGTAATCATTGTGAGTGGTAAAATAACAATATCATTGTATAATGTAGAGTAAAAGGAAAAATAAGTTTGTTAATTTTGTGCTAGTACCGTATCTTTAAAAAATGGTCTACAATATTCCGGCACGCCTTAAAATCTCATAATATACAACATTTTTAGTCCTTCTCCATCTATGTGGTTCATCCGTAGTGGGCTTTATCAATAACTGAACATGTTTACTTTTTTAAGCACGAGACAACGCAACATATAATTGACCATGAGAAAAAATCGATTGCGGTAAATATATGCCAACTCTATCAAGTGTTTGACCTTGAGACTTGTTAATAGTCATTGCAAAACTTAGGTTGATTGAAAGTTGTTTTCGAGTAAATCTGAAAGGGTACTTTTCCGTAGCTGACGGTTGTAATGGGATTCGAGGTATAAAAACACGTTGACCGTAATGATGTCCCACAATTATCTCAGCATCAATAACATTAGGGAGAAAAGCTCTGCATACTAATCTTGTGCCGTTGCACAAGCCTGATGTCGGATCTAGTTTTCTAAGCAAAATTATTGGACTGCCTACCTTTAAAGTTAAATGATGGGGCGGAAGGCCAGATGGGGCAAGGCTATTAAGAAATTTAGATGGATATTGTTCGGATGAATTTTCTATGCAGCTGTCATAACTTTTGTACTCATAAGCTCTTCCTGGCTTTGGTGTACTAAAAGAGAATTTATCTTTGTAGCATGTTCATTTTTTGGAGTTAAAATAGCTATTTTTGTTGCAAGGAAAGAATCAGAAGTTGTGTTCGAATTATCAGGGTATATGCTTTTTACTAAGAGTTGCAGAGATGAGTCTTCACTGTCACACGGTACGACTAAAGGTTTAGGTAGCTTTATATTTTTCCCATTTTCATAAGGGGGTATGCCATTCCCGATTTGTAGGACAAGATTACAAAAAGGTGGGTCATCGATTGCTCGCATGTTTTGTGTTAGGTGGATCTTTTGGAGTGCATACCATAAGGGATACATCACGAAACTTGTTGCAATAACCTCACTCAGACTTCCATTCGGTATAACAGGTAGCACTTGTCGGAAGTCACCACCAAATACAACAACTTTTCCACCAAATTTAACTTTGTTTGAACAGACGTCTTGTCGCAATCTGTCAAAGTATTCAATTGTTTGACGCTTTTCCATTGGCGCCTCATCCCATATAATAAGTCTTGCAGGATGAATAAGTTGTCCTAGAGCACTTTCGTTGGAAATACTTAGACTCGGAATCTCATCAACATCTAAAGGTAATTTGAATCGAGAAGTTGCAGTTCTACCTCCAGACAGACCAGATGAAGTAGTGCCAGAACTCGCAACTGCTAAAACAATCATTCCTTTTGCTCTTACATTGGCAAGTAATGTAGAATATAAAAAAGTCTTTTTTGTACCACCAGGGCCGTCAACAAAGAAAGCAGTCGGTTTATTATCAAGGACTCTATTATAAATTTTATTGTAGGCAATTTTCTGTTCATTATTAAGTAAATTAACTGCATTTATTTCTTTACGCTCTTCTTCGATTTCTTTCATTCCTTTCTCTATGTCATCTTCTTCAAGCTCTAACAATCCAAAATTGTAAGTGTCGAAAGACTTTCCCATCAATTCAATAAGGTAACAAATGCTTTTTATAGTTAATTTGCGAGCCTTTTTTTTGTTCGAAGGGAAGTTATGGCTGTAATCTTCAGAAAGATATGGGTAATATTTTTCCCACAAACAGTTTGGATCATTTGGATTGCAGTATACTAACAATGTAGCAAATAGGCGTCGTAAGGCAAAAGGCATCTGACTTTGGGAAGCTTCTTGTAGGCACTTGTCTATAGAATCGTCTGCTTCGAGTAGACCTTGTTGAAATGCTGCTTCTCAAAATGAAGAATATCTTATATTGTTGAAGGTCAGCAAATAATCAAAAGAGGTAGGACCACAAACACTTGTGAGCATAAAAGCGTTCACCTTCTACTGGATTTGCATGTATAACACGTCCGATCGCAGTAGTTGTTGATTGACGACGTTGCCAAATTTTTTCACTTTTTTTTGCCAGCCATGTTTAATGTTGAGGAAATTCTTGGTACGGGAATGTGCGAGCAAAGCTATTAACTTGGTTCATCTAAAAAAAAAGCAGTTAGCATAGTTCGTTGTCTGCATGAGTCAGATGCAATAGTCTGTAACTTTTCTTGTGAACGAAATGTCACAGTTTGCATATTTGGCAAATTTACTTGCAAAGAGACAACGTTGGATGTATACTATTCAGCGGAAATCTGAAAATAGGCCAAGCAGCTTCTGGGGGCGATATCCATCGTGCTATCTGAAATGAAGAGATCTCATCACCTATGCTTATGTTGTCAGGGTTAGATAAAGCGAAAACAACCAGATCGCGACCTTTGTATATATACTTATATAAATATTTAACTGCTTTTATTGTAGAACACACTTCTACGTTTATATGACAATCATATTTTGCTAGTAAATATGGATTATATGGTATTACCCACCTATTATCAAGTTGTACTCTATGTACCAAATACTTTTTTCCATCATTACGACATCGGTATATAGGGTATGAATTATGACCTGTCGATGTCGTTTCAGAAAAGCTTCGAGGGTAATGGTTTTTACAATTTCCATCTCGGGTGCATACATTTCCTAGGTTATCATTTCCACAAGGGTCATGCATCATATGCTTTAAAACAGCTTCATAAAGATTAGGGTTAGTCTTTTGTTCAGGTATTTCTGCGTAGACATGCTCATCATATTGGTCTGAAGTTCTAATCTTAGATCTTGGATCTAAAATGATGAGAAAGTGTACATGTGGTAATCCTCTTTTTTGAAACTCAATTACGTAAACATATGCTGCAACCTTGCCAAACAATTTCTTTTGGACAATATCTTTTTTCAATTTTGTTAATTTTGCATGGAAAACTCGCGCTATTAGATCAGGTTTGTTTTGCACCTCTTCGTGGGGAAGCAATTCGTCCATAATTTCATGCCATGAAGGGTTGCAGGTCATGGTCAAGAAAATAGCAAGTTTTCAATAGTTTTGAACTAAAGACATCGCATCAAGGTATCTGCGCTTCATATCTCATAGACCACCAATAAATGAAGGAGGGAGAATAAATCCATGCCCGATATTTGACCAGTGCGATACGCCGGTGTTCAAGTTGTCGAGAATGCCTTGGTAAAGTTCAGCTCTAGTTGTGTCTAGATTACGACGAATAAAATCCAGACGCGAAGTTTTGATTTTGATGTACATATCAACAATGTATTGTTAAGTAAGCGGCCACATCGTAGAAGAAAAGAATTATCCCGTATAAAAATCTGTAATCGGTAGCAGTAATACTCTCCGCACGAAACCTTTTTTTCAGACGTTGATGAGTGAATTCCTATATAAAAACAAAAGATAAAAAATAAGTGATGTTATTTTTGTTGATTAAAATGTAATTTTCCTGGGTAAATTACTTAATAGTCAGACCTTGTTCTTCAGCTTCTAGAAGATCGTCAACAGTTTGGACAAGAACTTCATTAAGCGGAAACGTGTGACATTCCTGTCTTTATTGGTACTTTGTTTTATATCTGTATATCCGTCTATGCCAACTAGTTTGGTCGTAAGGAAATAAAATCGGATATTATAACGGATCGCATCATCCATAGTAATGCAGTATACGATGGTTTACACCTGAATGTACACGAACCATAATATCGTGTTGCAGTGGAGCAGACGTACCTGCATCTTCCAACCAGATTGCTGCCACTTGAGAAGAAGTAGGTGCATTGTGAGTACGTTGATCTTGATCTAGATCAGATCGGATAATAATGTGACTTGTATCAACCATATTAACATCTTTAAGTGATAGGATAAATTGAGCATACGGATTTAGCTCCATTAAGCGCACTAATTGGCCGATTACACGTGGATCAAGACCCGTAAAAATTGATACACGATGTCGGTACTCAACATCCGTGTCATAGAAATAAAGTTGTAAATATCGCGGTTGCTCATCATTTCGATGTATATCATTTATGTTATGATAAACTTGCCCTTGAACTCTAAATGTGTAAATACCATGATGTCTTCGCGCTAATTCTTTATCCTTCACACCCAAAGATGTAAACGCAAACATATTGTTGTATAGAATAATATATTTACGAAAACTTTTGGATCTGCTATCCAATGACAAAATTAGGTTACGCAAAATATCTGGCATATGGTTAGGAGCAAGTCAAATCTCCCCTTGGTTGCAACATAGGTTAATTGATTCATCTTTAAATAGTTTTGCTCCACAATACTCACAAAGCGTCGGCACAGGAAACGTATGGACGTTTCGGAGGTCTTTTCATGTTGTTTGTTTTGCTTGTATTTGACATATTTAGTATTTTAAAATAATAGGAAAAAAGGTAAAACAAAAGCAATACGTAAGAATATATATAATAATAATAAAAAAAAAATCATTGTATGCAATGGTTCACAATCATTTTTATTTCACCCTACAACAAGACCCCTGGTTCAAGAACAATTAAGCGAACGCCTTGTCAAAACTAGCCTCCTCGGCATCATGTGATACTCCGAGGTCCGTGTTCTGGGAAGTCAAGGAGAAACGGAGCATTGATGCCGAGTGCATTCAAACCATTGATCGGAGTTCTACGTGGATGGACAGAATTATCTCCTATCTCAAATATGGAGCTCTTCCAAACGATCCAAAGGAAATTTAGAAGTGTAGACATCTACTTTTGGCCTCCTGTCACGACGGGAAGTGCGATGATGTTACAAAAACCCGTTCTTCATGCTAGATCAAAGTTGAAGGGTTTATGGACTCCGAAATGCATTATGAAGTAAGTTAAAACTCGTATTTGAGACCAAATTATCTTAGAGCCTAGTTCAATTACTAATTAGGCCTAAAACATGCGCATACATGTTTAATCTTGATTATTAACGGATCTATATGCGTCATATGCAATGATTAGATCAAATAGATCTTACATTGTTAAATAAACGAGCCAATAAGAACATTTAACCACATAATATCCGTTCATAGCTTCTTCATATTGATAGTCCTTTAAAAGAGCTTTCCAACGGTATATTATAATCCCAATTCCGAGTTAAAACGAAGAAGTTATCATCAAAATACTAAACGAGGCCCTAAAACCGACACCCTTGCACTCAAACGGCCATATCTTTTTATCCATAATAGATTTTAACCTAATCCTAACAGAAATGGAAAGTATACATTCAGAGCTTTCCAATGATATATTATTTTTCTTAATCCAACTTTACAATCAAAAGTTATGGAAGTTTTAAAAACGTGTTTTCGTATAAGGCAACCGTACCGCGAGCGCAAGTCCTAGAGTTGCGCGCGACTCTGAGAGTTGCGCCCGCCAACTGACGCCGCGGCTCTAAAAACCTAAATCTAGATTCCTACGCCTATAAATAGGGGTTTTTGCTTAGACCCAAACACAATAGAAAAATCAGAATTAAAACCCTAGCATTGTGAAATCCTTTATCTCTCAAACCCTCTTACTATCATACTACTTTTCTCCTCTCTTCCCAAATACTCTCCAACCTTAATTGATTCCATTGAAGCCTTGGAGGTACGAAGAAGAAGGAAGGTCCATAAACATCAAAAAAAAAGATCTTGCAAACAAAGGAGAATAGTTAGTTTCCCGAGCACTAAGATAAATCACTTTTCTTTTCTTGTTTAAATAACTTTAATTGATTAACTAGTGTTGTTTGATCACTTTAAACCAAATTTTAATTAGTTAATTTCACATAGTATCTTGCGTTAATTAAAGACTAGAATTGGAATAATTAATTGTTGTTTTATCACTTAAGTCAAGGCGAATATTGTTTATTTCTTGTTCTTTTTACAAATTTGAATAACAAAAAATAACGACAATAGTTGCAATGTAATCTTTATGTGAATGACGCGTGTAAATAAAATCAGCTAACTTAGTTCTTGGTATCACGTTGCATATATTGTTTGGTGATGAAATTGTGAAAAAGGAAGAGCTAGTAGAGGCCACACTTGGGCTAGGATAGCGATTCCCCCTAAAAGGAACATTATCTTAGTACCCTCGCTCCTGAACTCATTTCTGGTTTAGTAGACCGATTTGGGCATGGGTAAACTTATGATTCATGCAAATTATCCCTTGAACACTACTTGGGAGAAAGGTATGAACGAGGTTTATGAGCTTCCTAAAACTCATTGGCGACTCCCTATTAGTTTCTTACAAAAAAAGAGTAATGATAGAATCAATTCTAATTCAAGGTCCCCCAAACAGTCAGGAATTCAAATCCTATCACACCTTCAAAAGTGTAAAGTCCTAGGCTTTTAAAGAGCCATGGGCATAGAGGAAGTGGGATCCCCAATGACGGGCAACCCTCCTCACAAGAAGATGAAGAAAAAGGCGGCATGGTTTGAGATGAAAGGAGAGGACTTGTTCAAAAAATCATTCGTTAAGCCATATCTAAAGTGTATCACGCCCGAACAGGGGCATGAATTCTTGGATGACCTCCATCAGGGGAATTGCGGATCACATATAGGAGGATGAGCCTTAGTTGAAAAAGTGGTCTACCTTGGATATTTATGGCAGAGCATGAATTCGGACGCCATGGAAATGGTGAAAAAATGTAATAAGTGCCAGAGATTTGCAACCCTCATACACCGGTCGGCAAATAGTCTGTCGGCCATAAGTAGTCCACTCCCTTTTTCCAAATGGGGCATGGACATCTTGAGGTCGTACTCCAGCATCAGGGCCACGGCGGTATATGTTAGTAGCAGTGGACTACTTCACCAAGTGGATAGAGGCCGATGTCGTCCGAGGAATTATGTGGAAAGATGTGTCCACCTTCATTTGGAAGAATACGATCACACGCTTTGGTGTTCCAAAATCTATGGTGTTCGATAATGGGCCTTAGTTTGAGACCAACCATCTCAGAGATTGGCTCAGCGACCAAGGCATAACACACTGCTTTGCTTCAGTCGCCCGTCCAAAAGCCAACGGACAGGTTGAGGCTTATAACAAGTTGATCTCCAATGGTATCAAGTGACAGCTTGTGAAGGTAGGCGACCTTTAGGCAGATGAGTTGGTATGTGCTACGGTCCATTCGAACAACAGTGAAAGGCTCTACAAGAGAAACCCCATTTTTTCTTGTCTATGCTGCTGAGGTTGTGCTCCTAATTTAGATGCACAAGCCCACTCTTCGGGTGATGCTATATGATGAATCGGCCAATTGGGAGGCCATGAAGACTTCCTTAGACTTTCTTCCGGAAGCTAGGGGCAATGCTGCGCTTAGACACGAAATATATCGTCTAAGGATGACAAGAGCATACAATTGAAAAGTTTATAAGCGTCCGCTTAAGATGGGGGACTTGGTATTGAGAAAAATGGAAGCAATAGGCCGAGTAAAAGAATACGACAAGCTAACCCCTAATTGGGAAGGGCCCTACCAAATCAGTGAAGAAGTACGAGACGGTACTTATCGTTTCGAAACCTTAGACGACCATCCTATTCCTCGTACGTGGAATACGGACACCTTAAAAGATATTATGTATAAAGTCTTTTGTACTTAGCCAAAAAGTTGTATATACAACTAGGTCTAGTGATATAGCCCTGTAATTAAAAGTCGTACGGCCAAAGCAATGTAGTTTTGACAAAATTAATGAAAAGTCAAACATTGTTACTTAATTCTTTACTTTTAGTTTATTGCAAATTATGTTGCGTTTGACTAACTAATGCCGAGCATAAATTTCGTGCGAAATTAAAGCGATGGTTGCTCAAAACATAACAACTCGAAATTAAAGCGATGGCCAGCACAACCTTCATGGCCTCGAACTCTTCGAAGCCCTCATTCCATACTGCGACATTGGCGAGGGTGTCATCCCTCTCTTTCTCCGCGGCTTCGCAGGCAATTTTCTCTTGCTCATGGGCCCAGCCCATTGTCACTATTTGGTTAGTTTGTTGGGCCGACTTTTCGCTAAGGGCGATGATTGCGGCGACATGCTTGGCCTCCTG